ACTGATGACGCTCCCTGACGCACTCCTAACATTCGATTGTACCATTTTTGCATTCAAATGCAAATGTTTATTTTAAATTCGACTAATATTCATTTTTTTAATTCACAATCTCCTCATCACAGGCAGGCACAGCACTCAATTCAGCATGTGTTCGTGTTTGTGTGAGCTGTCTGCGTCATTCATAGCATGTGCCTATATCGTGCGCTATATCGAACATTTTTTATATCATTATCGATGAAGGTGTACCGTCGATAGATATCGATACCGTTTTATCGCCCAGGCCTATTAGATACTTTCTTAACTGCTGCTTTCTCACCGCTGTCAGTTTTTGTTGTGTTTATTTCATTATTGAGAAGAAAATATGCAGCACATATTTACATATTCCTCCAAACGCATCTCTCATCTCTTTCACGACAGCACCACACTGGTCAAACCGCGTTACTGCAGGCCCTTACATCAGATCAAATGAGATCAAACGACTATTCAACAAGAAAAATATTTGTCTCGACGTTGTTGATGTCAACTAGGCCTAATCATTTCAGCCCTATTCTGTTTACACACAAAGGTCAAGTTAATATCTCTGAACACACAGTGTGGCACACTGCACATTGCCCCTGTTTAGAGAAGATAATCAGAAAGTAACTACAGCACATGTGCAGTCCATAATTCATTTATTTGTATAGGGACAGTACAAAAAAAAAAAAACATGATTTCAGTCCCCCCAAAAAATTAAATAGATAAAAGCAATGCATTGTGCATACAGTGGGTATAGAAAACGCACCTTGAAGATTCTGTGGCAGATGAGACTAAAACATACCTGTCAACCCTCCCGTTTTTCCTGGGATTCTCCCGTATTTTGCCATTCTATCCCGCTGTTACCCCGTTTAAATATTTTCCAGTATTTTTAATCTTTCTATAAAAAAAATCCCACTGGGTGTATTTTATATGTTTGCTACATTCGCCTCCGGTAAAACTCCCGTAATTTGTATGGGCCAAACCTCATTATATGAATAATCACGACAACAAATTCCAAGGTTGCCCAGTTGCCAGATCTTGTATGAAACGCATCCTTCTCACACAATCGACACATAAAAATTTCAACCCATTTGTCCCCTCAACTTGGCAACCTACAATAATGATGAGTACCGCGAGTGCACGGTAGTACCGTGGGAAGGAAAAAGCCAAAAACGACCCTTATTTTTACGCAGAAAACATGCAGTTTAAATAATTGTTTGATAATAATTGTTTAAATTAATATCATGAATTAATATAATAATAATATATATTTTTTTTTTAAATATAATAATTGGGCCCCAACCCCCAATTATTAGTGTGTTCTAATAATTAATAAATTTAATTATTTGGCCTCAACACCAAACAATATGTCTGGGGGAAATACAATACAGCTCACCATCCAAATAACAGCATTCCAACAGTAAAGTATGGAGGTGGTGATATCCTGTTATGGGGGTGTTTCTTTGCAGCAGGAACTGGAGCACTTGTCAGGATAAGGAAAAATGGATGGGGCAAAATACCGTCACATTCTTGAGGAAAATCTGCTGCCCTCTGCCAGAAAGTTGTCATTGGGAAGAAGGTTTACCTTCCAACATGACTATGACCCAAAGCACACAGCAAAACTGAGCACACAGTGGTTGATGGAGAAAAAGGTGAATGTCCTTGCATGGCCTAGTCAGAGCCCAGACTTAAACTCCACTGAAAATCTGTGGAATGACTTGAAGACTGCAGTCCACAAACAGTCACCATCAAATTTAACTGAACTTGAGCAGTTCTGCAAAGAAGAGTATGCAAATATTGCAAAGTAGGGCTGTGTATCACCAGCAAAGATACGATACATATCACGATATAGAGGCCACGATACGATACGTATCACGATACAGGACTGCACTGAATTTCACCTCAGCAGAATTTAGTAAAACAACTGTTTATTAAACACTGCATACCATAGGGCCATTGCTAACTATTGGCAGAACAGGCAGTTGACCTCTGCATTATGAAGGGCTTCCATAACTGTACCACAGTACAATATAGGTAATGGCATATGTTTCATGTTTACATTGTGCACTCCCCACCAGGTACAATATTCTGATTGTTTGCATCTTGTTTTTAAGCCCATAAATAATAATGTACTCGTTCTAATAAATTTTTATTGTAATGTACCCATTGTAATATATTAAAATCATCTTAACATTGCTGGTAGGTTATCATTGCACAAATCAACACACACTCTCTACGTTTAAAAAATAAAAATAAAAATTAGAAGAGTTCTAAACTAATGCACTGTCTTCACTGTACCTCACGCACACACGTTTAGTCACTCACGCTGCGCGCGCGAACAGACATTCTTTATCGCGATTAGACCATAGACTGTATAAAAACCGGTTTAGACAAACTTTTTAGCGCTGCCCCGCAATTTTATCAATAAAATAGCTTAATCGCTGAAGAGCTACATTATCTTTCTCAACAAGGAGCTGGTAACATCATCGTTTCTAAAGCAATTAAAGCCACAACTTCGCTGTTAATAGAGAAACGCGGCAAAACGGAGGTAATTCATACATACACACCCTCTCTCTCTCTCTCTCTCTCTCTCATAAATGAACACTTGATAATTCACACTTTTCTGAGAATAGAATATTGAAGTAGAGATCGCTAAACTGCAAGCTAACCGGTGTTTTCCACAAAGCAAGCGTGTTTATCCACAGTGGAGAGAGAGCGCGTGTGCACATGGTTGCCAGGTTGACAAAGATAAGTAGCACACTTGGCAAATATTTCCGTATTGCGCAAGTGGGATGCTCTGTTTCGGGGATTACGTCTCTTTATATCAGACAACCCAGTTGTGTTCCTCTGTGGCCAGATTAAACCTTGTTGTAGACTATATATTTTTCTCTATTCATTATTTTTTAGAAACCTCGCACTTTTCTACTCCATTTTAAACGGTGTTCTTGTATTCAAATTGGACACCTTAATCTCAGTTGGCTGTTTCTTGGTAGAAATTCAGTAACTCGTTGTAATAAAAGATCACTTCTGTCTGATCAGTTTTGTCTCTGTTCCCTGGCCCATTTTGCAACCCTGAGCATTTCAAGAGCAGTCTTGAAACTATCTGTTGGAGGTTGTAGTTCCTCACTCCCGTCATGAGGAACTGGCTTTAGGCGTAGTTTGCACACATTTATTGGCAAATATGATTATTTCCCGGGCGTTTTATGGAAGTATTGTTTCCTTACAGGAATACTGTTACTCATGCAACCACAGCAGGCATCTTAAATTTCACCACATTGCAGGCTTGCAGCTGTTGTTCTGAACTTTTTCAGCCTCTCTGACCATGTCAGTTCAAACATGACTTTTTTGGTATAGGTTCAAGGCCACAATGTAACTCTACAAAATGTGTTGTGCAACCAAGTACATTACTAAGTACTAAGTACAAACATTGTTTCCCTGTTGAATCAATGCCAGTGTTTCTGTAGAAGCTGGTTACAGGTACTGAATTACATCCACAATTCTCATGTATGTCCGGTGATACTGTAGGTCTGCTGGAAAAGCAGGTTAGGTGGTTAGATTATGTCCCTCCCTGTTTGACCTTATTGCTGCAAACTTCAGCTCTGATCTACAGATCCAATGACTTGGCTTTGTGATGCATTGTTTGCAAAGCTTTATTCTGTCATGGTTGTTGTTGTTGTTGTTTTTTACTGTGTTGTTTTTATGGTGTGTTTTAAGTTGATTTACTTTCAATGTAAAATTAATAAATATTCACACTTACTTAAATTATTTTTTTCACTATGTTGTGTGTATGTGTGTGTTGCATTGATATATATTTTGTTGCAGGCTTGAGATAATAAATGAAAAATAAATAAATAGGAGGAAACTTGCCCTATTGGGCCAGTGATGCATCGATTCGTCACAGTATGTTTGTTCGTCATGTTTTTATTTTATTTTTTCATTTGTACTTTATTCTGTTTTATTTTTGCAAATGTAAGTATTTATGTGAAAAATACTGAAAAATGTAGTATAAAAAATAAAATATCTTGCTGATTTTGCAGGCCTGATATAGTTTAATTATATTTTTATTTTATTATTTTGATTTATTATTATTGCAAATGTAAACTTCTCTAACATTTTTTTTCTATAAGTTTTTATGAAAAAATGCTGAAAAATGAAGCAAAAAATTTTTTTGCAAATCCTGCTGATTCAAATATCAACAATGTAATATTTGCTAGCTGTCTAAAATATGTTTTGTTGTAATTGAATAGTTTGTAATAGTTTTGAAAGCATCAGAATGGGTTGAAATGAAAGAAATTCACTGCATGCTATTTTTTTTTTTTATGTATTTATTTATTTTTTATTTTTAAAAAAAATATCATTAAGTCCAAGAACAAATCTGAACTGAAAATTTTTAATGAAAGTTTTTAATACCTGTATTTATACTAATACTTTAATCTACATAGTAGGGCTTGTAAGTTTAAACAATTGTTCTTTGTTGCAGACGCGCATGCAGAGCCTTCAGCCAGAGCCAGCTGCCCGCTACCGTAACGTGATGGACGCTTTGTGGCGAATCGTGAGGACGGAGGGAATCTGGAGGCCAATCAGGGGTCTGAATGTTACAGCTGTAGGGGCGGGGCCAGCCCACGCACTGTACTTCGCCTGTTACGAAAGGTTGAAAAAGGTCCTCGGTGATATCATCCATCCAGGAGCGAACAGTCATTTGGCGAACGGTACCAGTTTTCCCGCCCATCAGCACTGCTAATTCTCTCGCCGGCACATTTCTACATAGTGCAGTCAGTAAATGTGTTCTTTTTTGCTTTTTCAGAAGACCTTTTCAACTTTATTAACATATTAGTAGCAATGACAGCATCAAAATTAAGTGAAGTTCAGCAGTGGTTTAAAGCCATCAACATTCTGGAACTAGCTATTTGGCAGTGACTATGTTATTTGTATGAATCATGTATTACTCAAACATCTACCTCTTTAAAAATGTCCTTCTAGTATGAGGTCAAATCCCAAAATAGCCAAAAATGCCGGTCTCTGATATCATGAGAGCAGCTATAAATAAAGAGAAGATCATGTGGGTAGTAAATCTTTGAACATACAATGCACTGCAATAAATAATCCATGTTTTTAATTGCTTAAATTATTATTTTTGTTTTAATGAATTACCTTCAGGTTGTATATTTAACATCTGACAAACAAATCAGTGCAAATCTTTATGATAAATTTAACTGAATAGCATCGCTAGCTTTGTTGAAATACCTTAAAAGCTAAACCTACAGTAATGTCACTATGCAAGCTAAACTGGCCTGCTGTTCGTCTGTGTAATCTAATATAAGCTTTTCTAACTTTTCTAATGTGCAGAGTAATAGAAAATTGGGTTATGGATGTGTTATGGATTTATATTTTATTGTATTTGTCAGATTGTGCTGTAATGGGTATTTAGGCTTATCCTCCACTTCAGAGCTCATAGTGAAAGTCATTGTTGGTGTTTTTGTGTAGTGTCTCTTTTCTTTCTCTTTCCTCCAGGTCAGAGTGAAAGGGTGGTGAGTAACTGCTGCCATATCACCATTTACCAGTAGAATTGCCTGAAAAGGAATGAAAATTATTATTGAAGCTGCAGCAGTTTTTGCTTCTTACCATAAAACAGGCACGATGAGTGAAGTAAATGCCAGTATCCTGAACAAAAGACTCTTTCTCCTGATTTTACATTCCCCAGTTTATCCAGTCAATCCCTAATCTCTCTCTGTTGAATCATAGGGGGTATTTGGTGGCTGTTCAGGACACAGTTTTTCTCTGACTGTCATCTGATCCGTCTGTATTTCTGATTGTTGTATTTTGAGTCCAGTCACTATCCACTCTGTGTGCATGCTCTAATTTTGGTGCTAATGTCTGAGGGTATGTGTTACAGGGGCCGCTGGATGTGTTGCCACATTGCTTCACGATGCTGCAATGAATCCAGCTGAAGGTATATTTGCTTTAATCTCCACTTTCTTTAAAAAAGAAAATAAGATTATAATATACCATTCACTACTATTCAAAATTTTGGGGTGACATA